TCCCCTGGTGGTTAGAGAAGCTGCCTTCTGACCTGGAGCTGAGATTGCAGGGGAAGGTGTGCCCATTCTCACCTGGGAAAGTGTCTCAGACCTCTGCAGCTGAGCCTGCACACCGGGAAGCTGCCCTCCTCCCTCCCACTCCAAACTCGCAAAACAAGATGCTGCTTTGATCTCAGACCCTCCACAGAAAATCTCCCTTGGCAAGCCTAGCCATGACAGCTGGGCTCCTCCATGGCAACTTTCTGTAGACAACGCTGACAAAAATCTAAACGCCAAGTCCTCCGGAGAAGACTTGATGAGGGAAACCAGGTGTGTACCGAGAATCCAGCTGGAGAGAGTTGAAACCATGCCAGGTAGCTTCACTTTTTTTTTTTTTTTTTTTTTTTTTTTTTTTTTTTTAAAGGAGGAAAAGGGACCCTCAGCAGAAGCTCTGAATCCATCGCGACTGCTGTGGTCTTGGTTAACCAGAGACACGGAGTTTCCTCCACTGATTGCCTCTGCTTAATTTTCCATGCAGCTTGACAAAAAGGAATGTGACAAGTTCTATCTCAACTCACAATCAGGCAAGACAGGGCTGTGTTTGTCCTTGCTGATCCAAGAGACTGAGGAGCCAATTAAAACTCCTTCTCCTGTTTCATGTTCTGGTGGTGGAATCAACACAGAGATGAAGGCCTGGTCCAGAGCATGTGGGGAGGAGGTGCTGGAGCTTCCTGTCTGGTGTGGATCTGGGGGCACCACTGGGATCAGCCTGCTTTATCATTTAGGACTTATTGAAAGGCTGAGAACAATAAAGTTTCTGCCATACAAGATACCCTAAGTAGGGTAGACTCTCAGAAGACCTTTGGCTTCACTGGCACCAGGTAACTAAAACTTTTGGGGACCCACAAGTTCTTTGCCCAAGAAATCCCATGATCAGGGTGTTTGAATGTTCACCTCTGCCTGGGGGAAGATCCAAGTTTAGTAGAGTGTAAAACTTAGGTAATTTAAGGAGCCCTTTTAAGACAAAGACTGCATTGAAATTTGGTGTGAAAAGGTTTATCTGGAATAAAAATATATCAAAGCAAATTGAAAAAATGTTCAGTTGATAAGTACCATGGATGTCAAAATACTCGGAAAGTATCCATCTTTTTGCACTAGATATGGCTGTATGAGAACTTTTTCCCTGATTTGCTTCCCCAGCTTCATTATATGATGAAATATTATAATGTTTTCTGTACCAAGAATAGAAAGATAATCCTGTTAGCATGGTTAGATTGAGAATTGATTTTTTTTTTTTAATAGTTTAGAAATGCTTCGGTTGTGTGGTTTGGGTAAGTGTCTTGCAAAGGCCTGTGTGTTAAGGGCTTGGTCCCCAGGGTGGGACTCTTGGGAGTGGTACAATATTTGAGATTAGGGGCCTGGTGGAAGATCCCTATGTCATTAGGGGTGTGTCCTCAACAATGATCGTGGGACCAAAGCTTATTCCTGTCTCTCCTTTTGCTTCCGGGTTTATGAGATGAATGGTTTGTTCCAATACACAGTCCTGTTGCTCACTCAGGACCAAAGCAATGAGTCTATCAGTTTCAAACTGGCCCTGTAAAACTGTGAACCAAAATCACCTTTCTCTTGATGAGTTAATTATCTCAGGTATTTCATTATAGCAGTGAAACACTGAGTAACACAACCACTCAGTGCTAATTTCATTACTATGTTATTAGTAAAATTGTTAGCATTATTAGATTTGGAGAAAATCATGCACGTTTCTTTCATATGTGAGCTATATAAGATTTCAGAACATTTCAAGATAGAAGTGTGTGCATGGGTAAACAATACCTTAAATACTCTTGGAATTGAAGAACTTGTTAACCATTATATTATTAGTTTTATGTTGGTTTTCGAGTGTTGGTATCCATGTAGTAGTTGGTGAGAATATTATGGGAAGTCATTTTTACTGATACTTTTCTAATGATTTAACAAGACACAGAAACAACTGCAAACCACACCTTTATACTCCACTGAATCAGAATGAACTTTCATTCCTACAAAATTCCCCTTTGCTGGATTTCCAGGGTTCTCATAGCCAAAGTCACCCAACTCAAGGGGAAATGTGACGGAGAGAGACAGTGATTTTAACCAAATGAGGTTAAACAACTTTTGCAAATTTTATAAAAATACATAAACATGTGATATTAGTATGGCCCTTTCTCGAGACTTTGAAAGTATGTTATACAAGGAAGGAGCCCCTTACAAATAAGTTGTACCAACTTTATGTTAAATCACATAAAGAAATACATAACAAAGAGGCCTACTTCTTAAATGGATAGTAGCATGCTTTTGAAAAAAGACTGAAATGTCAATCCAAGTTAATTTACAAATTGTGCTGGTTTCGAGTTATCTTCCTGCATATCACTATTTTCATGCAGTAGATATAAAAGCAAGGTTTTAAGAAGTCAGCCTAAGCGGGAAACAGGTTTCAGTTCAACTTTTCATTCATAACAGAGATGGCTTCCCCTAGGTCATTTTTACCTCATCTATATAAGTAGTCTGAGTTATTCCAAATCAGTATGGTTGACTCTGTTTGACAGCCCAGTTCCTTGGAATCCCACAAAAGAAATACTGTACTGGCCTTTAGAAGTGATAAGCTTGCCTGGCTGCCCCTCTTGGAGTGAGCCGTTGGCCTTAAAATGACCTGAGAGTCATGAGTCCTAGTGCTCATCTGATGGGGTCCATGTATAAGGGGGAAGGTTCGAGTGAAACCTGCAGCAGAGAAACCAGGCCTGGGACTCAGGCCTGCAGGTTCAGGTCTAGGCACAGTGTAACCCACACAAATGACACTGTTGGGCCCTGGCCAGTCTTGGGTAATAGATGGGGACTTTCAAAATATTGGGGCAGATGCTCCAAAGCACAGGGCCTGCTCAAGTGACCTGGACTTCAGGGCAGTACTGGAAACATGGTGACAGGATCTTTTTAATTGACTTTTCTTTTTTTCTTTCTCTTTCTCCTCCTCCTCCTCCTCCTCCTCCTCCTCCTCTTCTTCTCTCCTCCTCCTCCTCCTTCTTTTTTAATTTAGCAATGACCAAAAAGCATACAAATAGAATATGCTAGAAAACTTGACTTTTCCTGAGAATTATTTACTGTTATTTTAACTGGCTAGATTTAAATTTTTTTCTTAGATAATATGATCATGAAGCTTTAATTTAAAAAAGCACTGACTGTGTTTTCTCTTCATGATGAAAAATGTGTTGGCATTTTGATCCCTGGCTACCTACCCCTGCACTTCCAGCCGTAACTCCCTGTTGGGACTTTTTCTCTCCTCTTCTACATGAATTTCTCTTCCTATCACCCTCACTCTGCAATTTCATTGTGACCACCCCTGGGTGTTATTTGTAAAAGATCTGAAAGATTAAAAACTTCAGTGTCCATTTTTCTTTGTTTAGGAAGACGGAGCATGTTGGCAAATGGAGGTCATCAATAGTCGAGCCCTGAGTCTTCTGCTCTGCTTCTTCTTGTTTCCTCTTGTTCCCTTCCAGGATACAGATTTTTATCTTTTCATATGATAGAGGCAAAATGTATTGTAGGGAAAATGCTTGAAGAAACACAGCTCAGAGAATGAAAGACCTAGGGAAGCCATATGAGCTTCACTACCTGGAGGCTCGTCATGTTGAAGAGAAGATGCCTCGCTGTCTGTAACCCCAAGAAGTGAAGTTGGGTCTCTGGATAGAGTTTATGTGAAGATCCAATCCCAAAGGAAAGAAAAACTGTTGTGGTTGTCATAAATGAAATGTGCTATCTTGGGGTAAGCCCTTGGCAAATATGTTAGGGACTGGATTTAGACAGAGGTTGAATTTAGAGTTCATTCTTCTTTGACAAAGTGACAAAGAAAATCTGGGTAAAATCCCAAGGTTAGATAATATCCTGAGGTGAAAGCAACTCTTTTCTTTGCCTTTACTTTGTCTTCTGGGTCTAAATGGATGTCATTTCTAGAAAGTACCCTGAGTCTTTGACTCCTGTATGCAGCGTGCATCTTTGTGCCCTTTCCCCTTAACACTCTGATGCCCCTCCCTGGCATGAACTCCATTCTGTTTGCTGGCATCAGACAACTCATCTCGTCATATTCTCCTGGAAATCATGGCTTCCACTCATGGCTTATCTAACTGTCACTTTCCCTGGGTCTCAGCTCATATATATGGAGTGTTACATGACGATTGATTGAAAACTAGGTGGCTAAATCCTTTGCAGTACCTGCAATTCCATGTATCTATGACTCTTGCATATTTAGTTTGGCATTGTCAGTGTTTGTCTTGATTGGAAAGTGGAGCCCAGTAAGAGATGGCTCATGTTAATCCCACCACCTCTAACTTTTCTCTTTCATTTTCTTAGATTATGATAAAGTCTCAGGAAATGCATTTTGACCTGTCCAGTGGACAAAACCTATACTAATTTACTTGGGTTGTTGTTCTCTTTTTCCCCCAACCCAATGCTTTATTGGCACCAGCAAGGTCACTGAACTTGCCATTCACCCTCTACCAGATCTCAGATTGTACGAGACAGAAATCCCTGTTTATATCCAGGCTATTCCCATTCATTTCAGTGATAAATTCCTCCTACTAAGAAAGAAAGAGAGTATACTTCTAATGAGACCTTTAGAAATAATTTCTAGTTTTTGCTACTAGAAAAAATAATAAACATGGATTTTCATTGAAAATGTTTCACTATGAGGAGTCCATCCTTGTATAATTAAAAACTACAGAGGGAAGGGTAAAAGAAATTGTTTATTCATTTTCCATCAAGTGTGGTTCTACCTTACCTGTCCAGAGAAAAGTGTGTGTTTCCAGCGGTGAGGAGGAAAAGCTAGTAATGTCCTACACCCCCACTTACATTGATTCAGCCCTCACTCACTGGCTACCCAGGAGTGCACTAGATGTGCTGGCTGCTGAGCTATGCTTGCCACATATGGACTATGGATCTTCTCTAAGCCTTTTGCTTTCCTGGACTAAGATCCTTAACTTTTGTCACATCACTGATTTAGAGTGTCTGCTTGATCACCTGGCAGAAGTGACACCGGCTCTGGAGTACCTCAGCTTGCTGGGTAATGTGGCCTGTCCCAATGAGCTGGTCAGTTTGGAGAAGGATGAGGAAGACTACAAGAGGTACAGGTGAGTACCCGTATGGTGGGAGAAAGGGAAATATACCATTTTGAAGGGATGATATTATACTATGGGTTGCATACTTCAGTTCTGGTATCAAAGATCTTCCTGTGACAATGTTAAACTCTATTTTGGAAATTTAAAGGTATTCTCTCCCTTTTTGAGGTCATAAAACCCAAGAAAGATGAAGAGCTGTTAAGTGGCCTAGGCCAGGGGTTAACACACTTTTTAAATAAAGAACCAAATCTTGAATACTGTAGGTTTTGCAAGTCATGTGGACTCTATCACAGTAAAGCAGCTCTGCTCTTACACTGAGAAGCACTGAGGACTACTTTGTAAATGAACGGACTTGGCTCTGTCCAACAAAACTTTATTTACAAAATAGAGAGGAGGCTAGACTTGACCATGAGTTATAGTTTGGTGGGCCTTGTCCTACGTTACAAGGGCTTTATGTGGTCTGCCTCGGGATTACTTTTTGGAAAGAGACCTCTTTCCACCAAAGTTTAGGGTGCTCATGTGTAATCCCTAAAGCTTATTCCTCTCTACCATAAAGCTACACTTGAGTGTCCCAGCCCTACATGGGGATGGCCTCCAGTTCAAAATGCTGTTCTTTCTTCTCTACCTTAAAACCATCTGCTTTGAAACCCCTCAGCTAAACTCACCCCTCTCAAGGAGCAGTCTTATCTACCTGCTTTTCTATACGTTCTCATTTTGCTGTCTCTGTGCTCTCCTTCTTGATGGTTGTTTTATCAATGTTTTTAAAGATTTTTCTCACATGTACAGTTCCTCTCTGAATGATATTGGTTGTTCACATACCTTCTGAATCAGCGTGAGAAGGAGGAAGGAAAGAGGGAAGGAAAGGAAAAAAGAAGAGAGGAAGAAAATAAAAGGGAAAGGAGAGGAACAGAGGGAGAGAGGAACACAGGGAAGGGAAGTCTAGGGGAAGAAGCAAAGAGAAGCCAGACTGGTAAGGAGGGGAAATAGATTTGGAGGCAGCGAAGAAATAGATCATGGTTTGAGAGGAACTTATTCTCTTGGAACTTCATGTAAAAATAAATTTGTGGTAATCCATAAGAGAATATGTTTTCATTTTTTATAAAGGTTGAGCTATAAGAAATATTGAAGGCCATAGAATGTTGCTGATTAAAAAGACATATAACATAAGTAGAAGTAAGTAAGGATACAATAGGAACTCAGTTATATTTCTTTTATGGAAGAATGTTGCATTTCAATTTACTTTCTAGGTTTCTCAATTGTTTTAAGAATCTTAGGCTAGTCTTAAACAACCTTAGAGCAAAACTCTAACCCTTCTTTAAAAAATATTAAGCCTTTTTCCATGATGAAGATTCTCATTTGAAATGTGATGCTGTAGATTTGAATGTGAATTCTGTTAGCAGAAATATGGTCCGTGTCCTGCAGGTGAATGCATATAAATTTCTAAATCAATATTTTAAGTTGCTTAATCATGCAGGACTTCATCTGCTTTTAGAACACTCTTAAGCATTTGGAGCCATTTAATAGCCTGATTTCAGTTGTGAAGCCTCTACTTGAAGCTTATATATATATATATATATATATATTTTTTTTTTTTTTTTTTTTTTTTTTTTGGTCTTTTTCCTTTTTATCGGTACCAGGGATAGAACTCATGACTGCCTGCTTTCAAGGCAGGCACTTATGCCGCTGAGCTAAATCCCCAGCCCCTTGAAGCATATTTTTTCATGGCATCTTCTTTTAAGCTATATTTTGGAGCATTAAGCAAGCCCCCAAAAGTTCCCCCACTTAACAATTTTTAGCAAAGCAAAATTGGGAAATTCTCTTGTTTCCTTTTTCCTTTAGATTACATTGTTTAATTTTTAAAATAATCTAAAATGCATGTATGAGCTATGCATATTCATATATGTGTTTGCATATCATATACATATTCTCCCACATTTATTTATCATGCATTCATAAAGCAAAAAGTTATGCGTGAACATGTTTATAGGCAAGTTTTTATTGCTTTTTTCCTTCTAGAGTGAGGGAGAATGTGGGAAGTTTTCAGTTCCAAGCTTGTAAAAGGAAAAGAAAAGCTAATACGAGTTTTTTGTTGTTGTAATGGGTCAACTGGCAAAAATACTAAGGACTGTAGTGTAAGGAGTGAGATAGGAAGACCTTGTGTGACATCCACCTTGAGTAGTGGCACCTTTAAAACAGGGAGAACCACCTGGATTGGTGGTTCCGAGGGGCCTCCGAGTCATCTGGCATCTTAATGCATTTAGCAGCAAACCAACAAAAGCATCCTCTGGGGACTGAGGTGATCACTTGGCTCTAGTGTTCTGAGACTCTCTCCCCAAGCGGGTCTGCTTCTCCTTTATTGTCTTGCATATTTCATCCTGCATATTTCTCTCCATACTTCATAAGTTTCAACATCTAGAGGACACTTCTAATGGGTAACGACTGAGTCTTCTTGTCTCGCGAAGCCTCACCAGTACCTGGTAGGGATGGACATGGGAAACGAGGCCTGGGAAATACTGGAGGTCATCTGAAATTACTTTCCTACTTAGAAGCTTGGCATTTGGGGGTAGATGCGGGAATCTCCGGTACTTCAGATATCCATTGTTCATTTGGAATCAGATCCATTTAGATGCTCATAAATGCAGTTAACAAGCAAGGAATTATGATCTGGATTCAATCCAAGCCCTGGTTGTAGGTCACAATTCTCAGGCCAGGGCTTGATTCTACAGGAGTAATCCACCTCAGAGGCTAGCCTTGGCATTCCCCCAAGCCTGCCCTCCACATCTGAGGCCTGTTTTTCCCTGAGGATATGAAAGAAGGGACTGGGGAGGTGGTTTGCATGTGCATATATGGCCAAATTGTTACATGGGGCTGGATCCTAAAGTTTGCATGCACCCAAAAGCACATCTAATGCCAGACTACCTTAGAAAATTCCTGTCACCCACAACAACAGCAAGATGCTTACATTCTGAGAGAAGCAGCAACTAAGAACAGCAGAGAGAATGGGAAATGTGTGTCTACCTGGTTACACTTTTACACATTTGCTGTGCAGCATGATTGTGCAGTGACATGGTCGATTGGTTCCCTGGTGCGTTTACATTTTTTATTTATTCATTTATTTATTTTTATGCTTTCTTGTTTATTTGATAAGCACTGACCCTTGTATTTGGAAAAAAACAAATGTATGCATGATGCAGTTCAATTCTATGGTCTGTAAGCAGCTCTGATTTATTGTCCTGGAGTCTGTGCTTCATTTGCCCCTGAGAAATTTTAGGGTTTCACAATATGACTTTTGAATTCAGAGTTCCTGTGGCATTTGTGTTTATGCACAGCAATGCATTTTTTTTCTCTTTTGGTAAAATATTTTTCCGACCCTTCATCCACGAAGTATGAGGTTACCTTCTTGCTAGCTGTTACTCAGAGCCTAAGAGTGGAGCCTCTATGTAAATTTATGTGACATTTTCACTAGAAAATTGCTTTAAAAATGAATGATATTTCTACAGTTTACTGTTTTTCACTTTAAGTACATTTTCTGACAATATGTCTTCTATTAATCATTTAAGCAATAGTAGCAGCCTTAAAGGAGTGTATTCAGAAGCAAGAACCCATGGTTCATTTAGTGCTGTCTAAAAAAATTTCTTATTGATTGGCATCCTCTGTAGTTATGTGATGTAATATTTATAATATGTCACACAGCCATACATCAAAACAAGTGCGTCTGTTGTTTCATTTCCATGGGAGATGCTGATTTCAAAGAGGTCAGCCCAGTTTTAGGTCACGCCATGGCCAGCCACTGGACCAGAAAGGGGAAGTGACTAGATTTATGTAGCTATTGGAAATGGCATCACAGATGTTCAGGTTTTTGCTGAGTCTTTTCTCCTCTCCCCCTCCACCCATGCTTTTGGCTCTCTCGCTTACCCCCTGTGTATCCTGTTGAATTTTCTTGGCACGTATCCCCACAGTAAAACGGGCTCATTAAATTTCTATATGAGCATGAACATACTACAAAGTTGTTGAGTAGAGTCCTGGCCTGCTGGGGTAGGAGCAGAACTGAGCCTGGGGTTCCCTTTGCTATTCATCAGAGTTCAGGGCTGAGCAATGTCCATGGCCAAGTGGTCACAGGAGCCTGGACCTGGCTGTGGGGATGCAGTGCTACTGTTTGGGGATGAATATTGAATGGAGGTGATAGCAGCCTTCAGGATTTGAGCAGGGAGAAGCTTGCCAGGTAAGGCTTCCTGTACTACTCAGAAACCCTTGTGACTTCTTGTGGACTTCAATACCAGTCAAGAATAACGAATCAACTCTGGGAAACTTCAATGCTCAGAGTGGTCTGTTGCTTGTCTTTATTTGCAATCTATTTCCTCTTTTTTTCTTCAGAAAGAACAATGACTTGAAAGTCAACAATGATCCATAAATGCTGGACTTCAACTTTCCAAAAAGGGAGCTGGGCTTCTGGACTTTTAGTGTCTTTGGTCCCTGAAGCCTGTGTCGTGCACTCTCTCCTGCCACTGCAGCCTCTGGCTGGCCTCTCCTTCTTCCCTCCACTGCAGTAGGTCTCTCTGTGTTCCTTGCAACCCTAAATTATTTAAAACATGACACCCTTTCTTTGTTCCCTGGTAGGGAGTAAGGCCAGGGCCTGCCCAGCATCTGTAGCACTCCACTGTCTGTGGCCGCCTGGCCTGCCACCATTTCCCACCCAATAGGAGCTGTAAAACTTGTGACTTACATAACCCAGCTAGCATGCTCCAGCTAATCTACAATCTGGGCTTTGAAGATCACAAGAAAGCAAAGGTCACGACCCAGAGATCAAAGTGACAGAAGCCCACAGAGTAATTGCCGGTTACCCTCTGCAGAGGGCCTTGGACTGTCCTGTGGGTGTATTGTTTGCACAGAGACTTCAAACATGCTGCCGGTGAACTGTGAGGAAAATCAGCTGGCCTTTGCCAGTTGCCAGGCATTCATTAATGCTGTAGGTGAGCTCACCCTGGCTCATTAGAGTGAGATCATTGTCATCT